AAAAAGCACCACCTAAGATTAATGCATCATATACTGCCATTATCCATATGTGGTCTTGAGTATCTACTCTTTTATACAAATAAAGCAGTTGAAATGTACATTATTTAAAAATGCACACATGAGGTTCCCAAGAACCTCATTCTATTAGTCTTCAATATAAAGATATAATGATATGGCAAAATTATATTCTTAACATTTTACAGTGAAAAAGACATTGTATCTAGCACATTGGAAACTTCCATATAATCATGAAAGCTTTCTACATTTGTAAGGAAATTTCATTATAGAGTGTAACATTTAGGTAAATATATCTATCCAAATTTTGGAATTTCCAGTTCTTACACATAAAAATTAACACACTTAACATGGAAAATTAGTTTTTCCAATTTATAGACTGACCTCCTTAAATCTATTCACATATATGTAGTAATTTCCGTGAAACCTGAAAAAAAAAAAAAACTAAGGCACAGGTTGATGCAGAAAATAGATTAACTATGTATCAAAAAGTGTAGAAAAAGAGAAGTTGGCCTTAAATTCTACAGGTGCTATTTAGTTGTGATATTTTGTCCTACATTATTTTGAACAGAAACAATTAAAATAAAGCACATAAAGACTGTATACTTAAGTATTTAATACTGGATGATATTATTTATTTGAAAATTTAACAAATTCCCAATTTTTTTAAATGATTCTTGCTTATCCAATACCTGAATAATTATTGTTGAAGATGAAATCTTAGTGCCTATCAATAGAAATTGAAAAAAGTTATTAAATTATTAATGACTTCCATGAGATTATTATAAAGGAGAAAGAATCACCACTGACCCAGTTTGATGGTTGAAAAGCTTTGCTTTCCTAAAAAGTCATGAAGTTTATCCATTCTTAATTTGAAAATCTGAAAAGAGAAACTGTGTTTTTCACAAGGAAACTCTTTGTTTTGGGTAAAACTAGATAGCATTTTTTTTTATAATAGTTTACATATTTTTGTGCATTTGTCCATCTCAGTTGCAATCCCCGTGGGTTTCCCATCACCAGATCACCCATGTGCCATCACCATAGTCCAGTGCATTTCCCTCCCCGCACTGTTTTTGATCCCATTCCCCACTCCACCCCCACAAAATGTCTCTGGTATATAGCTGTTCATCATTATCACTATTTTCTCACCTGCTCCTTTATATTCCTGCTATGTGAGAAACCATCTGGTATTTTTCCTTTTCTTTCTGTCTTATTTCACTAAGCATGATCTTTTCCAGTTCCATCCATGTTGCTGCAAAAGACATTGTTTCTTTTTTTGGTTGCTGAGTAATATTCCATTGTGTATATGTACCACATCTTTTTAATCCAGTCATCCATTTTTGGGCATTTGGGCTATTTCCATGTCTTTCCAATTGTGAATAAAGCAGCAATAAACATGGAGGAACAGGTATCTTTTTGAATCCATGTTTTTGTGTCTTTTGGGTAGCTACCTAGCAGTGGGGTTGCTGGGTTGTAGGGAAGCTCCATGTTCAGCAGTTGAGGAACCTTCAAACAGTTTTTCATAGTGGTTGTACTAGTTTGCATTCCCACCAGCAGTGCAGGAGAGTTCCTTTTTCTCCACATCCTCGCCAACATTTGTAGTTGCTAGTTGTTTGAAGATGTGCCATTCTCACTGGGGTGAGGTGGTATCTCATTGTGGTTTTAATTTGTACTAGATAGCATTTCCTATAATGGAATATTAACTTCATCATTTTCTACTTTCTATGCTATTATAATTATGCCACTATTTACTAACATATAAATAAAGTTTTAAGCTAATATAATATTTTATTAACACTCTACCTTAATTTTATTCAAGATACTGGTAGATTTTTACAAGAAAAAATTAAATCAAAAGGTTTAGGAAGAACATTAAGGCGAAGAGATGCTGGGATTAAGTTCTGTCGTAGAAATTATCAATAAAGAAGAAACTGCAGAAAGTTTCTGGCAGGACTCAGATGTTTTGGACAGGATTGGTGACCCAAAAGAAGCAGAAGGAAGATGAGAGCAATGGAGGAAGAGAGGAGTGGAGGAGTGGGAAGTATTGATCAGAACTCTTTCCCCCCTCCTCCACCGGCAAACCTGGGACACCTCCACCAGACAAAGAAAAGGAGAGAAAGTCTGAAAGCAACAGGAAAACAATGAATCATCTAAAAACTCCAGATGTTGAAGCAAAGGTCAGCAGGTTAATTCTCATGGAGAAGAGCAGGACTCCAGCAGGTCCCAAGCCTCTGATTTAAAGTTAAACTAAGGACTACTAGCTCAGTTTAACCCTGTAGGAATGAAAACACTCATCCCACATGCCACCATTGGAAAAAGGGCAGGGGCATGACCAACTCTACAAGCACATAGCCCCCCGCCATAGTTGGAAGTTGAGCAGGGGCTGGTGACTGCTACAAGCTACACAGTACCCTGCCAGAGATGGAAGCCAGGCTGGGTGTGGCCACCGCTACATTCAAGTTGGAAGCTGGGCTGGCATGGCCATTGTCTAAAGGAGCATGCAGGCCCGTGCCACAGTCAGAAACTGGATAGCTGCAGAATCACCTTGAGTGCACTGCTCCCTGCTGTAGTGGAAACTGGGAGGAGCTTGGTGGTAACACTAGAGCACAGCTGGGCCAGGGGCATGGCTACTGCCTACAGGAGCATGCAGGCATCCACCACTGTCTGGAACCATGCATGTGGGGCCACCTTGATTTTGCAGCTCCCTGCCATAGTCTGAAGCCAGGCGCAGCTTGGCTGGCACCAGTAGAGCACAGCTCCTGCCACAGTTGGAAAGTAGGCTAGGGCTCGGGCACCACTTTGAGCACTCCGCTTCCTGTCACAGTGAAAGCTGGGCCGGGAGTGACTTCCAGTACACATTCCCCAGCCATAGTGAGAAGCTTGACAGGGGTGTGGCTGCTGCTATTAGCACATAGTGCCCTGTCAGAGTTGAAAACCTGTGTGACTATTGCCAGTGGGAGCATAGGGTCCCCCACCCACTGCAACAACACCACCACAGGCAGAAACTGCACAGCAGCAGAACCACCACCACACAGAGTGTACAACCCTCAGCTACAACAGAAGGAGCACCTGGAAGAAATCCTGGCCAATACTATAACAGGGTGGTCCCTGGGAAGAGAGGAAGTTCAGTTCGAGGCTCCCTGCCCCACCCAGAAGGAGGGTGGAGATGAGCAGAGAAAAGAAGAGAAGGAATCTGAGGAGAAAGGAAGCAGGATAGAGGGCCAGAAGGAAACCTGAGGAAGCCACGTGGAGCAAAGAGAGACATGTAAAGAAACCGTGTTTATTTCTTGGCCCTGGACTGGTTGAAAGTGATGTGGGTGAGAGACCCGTGGGGAGGTTGACTATAGCAGTGTTTATATTGATTTTGATTGTGCTCTTTTCCTCCCAGACTTGTCTGGCTATTTCTGACCCTTTTCTATGGGTCCTGGCCAGAAGGTGCTTTAGACTTGTGACAGGATTTCAAGCCTTGCTTTGGGCCAATCCCTTTTGGGTTGACTTTTGCCTATGAGGGGATGGGTAACTTCCCATGTTTTGCCCTTGAGGGGATGGGTTTGATTTATAAATTATATTCTTTATCTTCTGTATTGTATACTCAATGTATTAAAGTTTCTTTTCAATAAAGACTCATATGCGTTGTCTTGCTGTGGTGGATGGCCGATCCTATTTAAAGCAGGCAGATTTGGAGGTTCATTGGTGCCCCTCTCTCCTTGCCTTGTTACAATACCAGCAGCTCAGTATCCCATTGCATAGGACTCATCAGAAAACAAATGACAGAGAAGGAAAAATACAAATAGCCAAGCAAGCCTGAGGGGAAAGACATACCACAGAAAGAAAATCAGTCACCAGATCTCAACAACAGTGACATGGAAAATCATCTCAGCCTGTCATACAGAGAATTATAATCATCATGATAAAAAACACAGATTATGAAAAGGGGAAAAATGATATGAGACAAATTGCAGGCTTAATGCTATTCCAATAAAAATCTCAATGACATTCGTCAAAGAAATAGAACAAATATTAATGAAATCCATATAGAGCCACAAAAAAACCTCAAATAGCCAAAGCTCTCCTGACTAAAAGAGGACGTATCACACTCCTAGACATCAAGCTATACAATAAAGCCATAATAATCAAAACAGTATGATACTGGAACAAAGACTGACACAGACCAAAGGAACAGAACAGAAATTCAAGAAATAAAGCCCCACATAGATGGGCAACTAATCTTTGACAAAGGAATTAAGAATATGCAATGGAATAATGACAGTTTTTTCAAAAAATGGTGCTGGAAAACTAGACCACTGCATGCAAAAAAATGAAAGTAGACCACTACCTCATACCATGCACAAATATCAACTCAAATGGATAAAAGAACTAAACATAAGAATCCATAAAATAAAAGAAAACATAATTACAACACTACAAGACATACATCTCAGTATCATATTTAAAGATTTCATCAAAAATGAAGGAAAAGATAAACAGCTGGGATTACAGCAAATAAAATCTTAGAGCAAAAGAGATGTTAACCAAAACAGAGATGCACTACTGATTAGGAGAAAAAAATTGCAATTCACACAACTAATAAAGTATTGACTGATTGCAAGGGTTTACAAAGAACTCACTTACAAAGACTCAAGAAAAACAAATAACCCAATAAAAAAATGTGCAGTAGAACTCAAAAGGCACTTCTCCAAAGGTGAAATGCAAAAGGACAATAAACCTATGGTAAAATGTTCAACATTTTGCATAATCAGGAAAATTCAAATCAAAACCACAATTAGTTACCACCTTACCCCAGTAAGAACAGCATATATTAAAAAAACTAACAATAAATGTTGGTAGGATGCAGCTAAAAAGGAACTTCCCTACACTGCTGGTGGGAATGCAAACTAGTCTAACCACTATGGAAATCTGTGTGGAGTTTCCTCATATTATTAAAAATGGAGCTGCCTTTGACCCAGCAACTCCACTCCTAGGGAGCTACCCACTGGACACAAAAACCTTAATTCAAAAGGATACATGACCCCTATGTTTATTGCAGCACTATTTACAATCGGTAAGATTTGGAAACCAAATGCCCAAAAATATTTGACTCTATCAAGAAGATGTGGTACATATACACAATGGCATACTACTCAGCAATAAAAAAGATAATCTATACATGGCACCATGGATGAAATCAGAAGGGATTATGCTCAGTGAAATAAGAAAAAGAAAAATATTGGATAGTTTCACTTATTGAAGGAATATAGAGAAACCAATTAAAGGATCGGGAAAACAAATTCCAGTTAAAACTGCAAAACCAAACAAAAATAATCAGACAGCTATAAGTCAAAGACATTCTTCAGGGGAGGGAAATAGTACAAAACACAGGCAGGGAGAACACAAGAGTCTAAGATGATGGTGCATGGGTGAATTGGTGGTGGAAATTCTATGGGGACCACATTTGATGCAAAATATATACAAATCAAGAAACTCAAAATTTTTTTTAAAGATTCATAAACAGGTAAAGTTTTAATATTGATGGAAAAAAGACACAAAGAATCTGTACTTTCATGTAGTTTGTCTAGCTACAGTACAGAAAACTGCCTTTCATGCTATTATATCAACAGCTACTATATCACCTTATTTTCTAAAATTTCTAATTTGTAGTTCTCATCACAGAGAATTTTAAAATCTAGATTTAAATCCTATCCACTTTGAACAGATTATTAATTGGTTTAGGCATCCTATGCTGTGAATTAGATTATAAAAGCTGGAAGGTTTCATCCTCTTTTTTATCCCCTCTGCAAGGGCATTTTGGGTGAGCGCAAATTTCTTGAAGGCCCCAGTGGTGTTGAAAATGCTCGGTTTGGTTCAGCAATTGCAGCTCTCTCAGACATCAACATGGACGGCTTCAATGACGTAATAGTTGGTTCACCTTTGGAAAATCAGAACTCTGGAGCTGTATACATCTACAATGGTCACAAGGACACCATTAATTTGAAATATTCCCAGGTGAGCACATGTTCAGTTGTGGTGTGTTTACATGTGTCGCTGTGGTAAAGGTGAGACGATCCTACAGATCCATCCTTCTTGTATAACAATTTTATTCACTTATTTTTTTAAAGATTTATTTATTGAAGTATATAAGAACTGGAATGTAGGCCAGAGGTGCTGGAGGTGAAAGGGTTCACCAGGACAGGGTGGGAAGTAGAAAGTCACGTAACTGAAATACACTCTTTTGGGGAGCAGCAAGCAGGACAGGGGAGGTCTGCTGAGCCATGTCAGTCAGCTCCCTGGCAGGAGATCGAACTCATGTTGCAGTGGCTGGTGATAGCTTCATAGAGCTGTGCCTTTAACCCCTGTGCCACCAGTGAAGTCCCCAGTTTTATTCATTTATACAGCACATATTTAGTATGTCTCTCCTGTGTGCCCAGTGCTGTTTTAGACTCTGGAAATGCTTTAAAGAGCAAGACGAAAAGAAAGTTTATGCCTCGCATATTTTAACATTCTTGTGCAGAAGTAAAAGTAGAAGTCTCTTGTGGAAGAGACAGGAAAATTATGATAAATAAGATAAATACCTCTAATAGTGATAAATGACAAGGACTTTAATGGAAAAGTAAAATAAATAGGAAATAAAATTTCAGAGATGAGAGCTAGAAGCTATTTAAACTAGAGTCCAAAAAGACCTAGCTGAGAAGGCAATTTTTGAGTGAAGAACTGAAAGTTGTGAGTTAGGACAGAAGCCAGCCCTGAACTTGGACCAGCTGCTTCCTACTCCACTGATCTTTGTGTTTTGTGCTGTTTTGTGATTTCGTTTTAAAAGATTCATGTTGTCTGATGAAAATGTGGCTGCAACAATGATAAACAGATTGGCTAAAATGTGATTGAAAGATTAATGGAATTTTGTGGATATCAAAGAAGATCTGGAAAACAGTTATAAAACAAATCTGAAAATATAGTGCAGAAGCTATTTTTTTTTCCTTTTTCACTTGTGCATTGTAATTTCCTGTCAAACTTGCTGTTTCAGAAAATCTTGGGGTCTGATGGGGCCTTTAGGAGCCGTCTCCAGTACTTTGGGAGGTCCTTGGATGGTTTTGGTGATTTAAATGGGGATTCCATCACCGATGTGTCTGTGGGAGCCTTTGGAAAAGTGGTTCAGCTCTGGTGAGTCAGTAAGAGCCAGATACCAACTAAATAACTCTAAAATGGTGTGCTAAGTAGAGAAGATTGCTGTGCTGTGTCGTGGAAATGCCACATGCATTATGTAAGGTGCTGGGACATGTATGTGCCATTGGTTTGCATAAAAGAAAGAACATGGTTTTCCTGATGGGAAAAGAAAAGCATTTGCTAAACATTAGAATCAAGTTTCTCTTCCCCTATAGTGAGCAGGCAAAGTGCCTAGAAAAGACAAAGGCCTTGAAACGGTATCCAGGATATTTCTTAATACTATCTTCCAAAGGTACTTACCTTAGTTCACAGAAAAGCCTCATCAGAATGTCTTAAAAATCTGAACACTTAGACTTCACAAGTGAAGTCAACTTCTTAGGAGGCTATAAGGTATCTTTTAAAATTATTAGTCATAAAAAAGAAGCTATTCTTTAGATTTAGCAGATCTTTCACTGACCTCAGTAGGAGTTGAAGAGCAGGGAGGGACAATAAGTATTCTAAGGGCCATATGTTTCAAGAACAAAAGTATACTAGTCTGGTGGGAAGATAGAATCAGAAAGAAATTGAAAATTCAATCAAGAATTACCAAGAAAATATAGTTGAAATATTTACTTATGTGTCCCTGTTGAAAATGTACTTTAAAGGTACAAATGCATCAAGAACAGAAAAATATTACATTATGATGTACTGTTTGAGTCTAATACACTTTTCATAATGTCTTCTACCTTTAAAGAAGGAAATGAGTTACTTTAGTGCATCATTTTAATGAAGTCTTTTTTTTTTTTTTAAAGATTTATTTATTTATTCATACAGAACTGGGGTACAGGCCAGAGATACGGAGGGTGAGAGGATTCACCAGAGACAGAGTGGGGAGCAGAACAGGCAGGTCAACGGAAGTACACTGCTGAGGGGAGCAGCGGGCGGGTCAGGAGAGGTCTGCCACGCCATGTGGTCACCTCCGGGGCAGGCGGGGATCGAACTCATGCGGAAGTGGCTTTTTTAGTTTCTCAGTGCAGTGCTTTAACCCGCTGCGCCACCAGGGAGGGCCTTAATGAAGTCTTTATGTAGAAAAGCTAAAGATCAAAGAATAATGTTTAAAACTGAAAAATAAGTGTATTTACTGAAAAAAAATCAGTAAAAATCAGGTAAGCATAGATTCTTAGAAAAATACAAGGTGTGACAACATAATTATATGAATGATTTCTAAGCAACTTTGTAAGGAGAAAAACGTCACCCTGAAATGGCACAAACCCAGTGATAGGTAATGTGCTGGTTATTGGTGAGATGGTGGTGATATTTGTTCTGCCCATTTCATAGGATTGGTATAGGAGTAAATGAGGCCAGATATAGGTGGAAATTCCTCAGATATGTCAAAGGCTGAGCCAGCGTCAGATGCCTGTAGTGCCCAGCCTGGTATGGCCCTCTTGCTATTAGCTACATCAAGCTAGCTGCTACCATCTTGGCCATAGGGGACACTCAAAGCATCTCTGCTGGTCACAGAAGCAACAGACAAACAAGCCTGACCACACTTTTCAGCCTGCCGCACCTCTTGCCATTGCTTTCTCCACTACTGATAAGAAAATGAACACCACCGCTTCCTGCCAGCAGTCACTTCAGGGTCCATGGCTGTCTCATGCTGGCCAAGAAGCTGCAGAGTTACATCCTGTGCTTTGCATGTGCATGAAGCAAAAAGTATCACATGTGGGTCCTGATAGTAGTCACCCACAGAAAGGCATGTCCCCTGCTGCTATCATGGTGCTTTCAAATATAAAATACTGCTAACGTACTTAAAGGGGAGTGGACCAGTGGATAATGCAAGCAACTGGGATCCCCATGTAAAGTTATAATTCTTGCACTTGGCAGTGACATCCATCTGTCTTTTTCTCTGTCTTTCAGGTCACAGAGTATCGCTGATGTATCTGTAGATGCTTCGTTCACACCAGAAAAGATCACTTTGACCAACAAGAATGCTGAGATCAGCCTCCAACTCTGCTTCAGTGCCAAGTTCAGACCTACTAACTTATCCAGTCAAGTGGGTGAGTAGTCCTGTACAGAGATAGATTTGTTGGTAGGACTTTAGTGTTGGAAGACCAGAGGAAATGAGGATCTTGCAGACATTTAAATAGCTATGCATTTGAAGCACCTGGAGGGGGCACCCAATAATACACAGTAAAATAGGGTTACTTTTCCCTAAAAAGTTCACCTGTAATAACATTTCTTTAAAATTTTTATCATAGCCATCACATATAACATCACAATTGATGCAAATGAATATTCATCCAGAGTAACCTCCAGGGGGTTATTTAAAGAAAACAATGAAAGGGGCCTGCAGAAGACTATGATAGTAGGTCAAGCCCAGACTTGCTCTGAGTACACCATCCATATACAGGTGAGGCCTCAGAATCATCCTTTTCGGTCTCATTTCTTTTTATTTTTTTAAAGATTTATTTATTAATGCATACAGAACTGGGGTATAGGCCCGAGGTGCAGGGGCGGTAAGAGGATTCACCAGAGACAGAGTGGGGAGCAGAACAGGACAACTGATGAAGCACACTGCTGAGGGGAGCAGCAGGTGGGTCAGCCGTGCCATGTGGGTCACCTCTGGGGCGGGGATTGAATTCATGCAGAAGTGGCTTTTAGCTTCTCAGAATTTGCTTTAACCCACTGTGCCACCAGGGAGGGCCTCAGTCTCATTTCTTTTTAAAGACTAATGAATGGTGGTAAAGCCCAAACTGTAAGCTTATGAATTAGAAAATGCCTGCTCTCCTAATGAAAGCTTTTTCTTACCTAATTCCATGAAGAAGCATATTTCCTTTATTATAATATATACGGTTATGTTCTATTATTGTACAAGTCAGCAACATAAATTTTTACTTGGATTACAATTAAAAGAGCTTTAAAACATATTTTTAAGTCAAAGAATGTTTTAAATGTATAGCAGGGAGACTTTTAATTGACAATATGTTTTATTTTGACATTTTCCTATAGGAGAAAAATTTGATTCATTTTTAAGGTACTGAAAAGGACAATTCCAATTGTCATTTGCAGTATTGCATTTTTTTTAATTTTTTTTATTTTATAAGTTTATTTTTACATCATTTTGTACATTTTTTTTTTTCCATCTCAATTGTAATCCCCACGGGTTTCCCATCACCAAGCCACCCGTGTGCCATCACCATAATCCCATGCACTTCCCTCCCCAACCCCCCGTTTTTGGTCCCTTTCCCCACTCCACCCCCACAAAATGTCTCTGGTATATGGTTGTTCATTATTTTTGTTATTTTCTCGCCTGGTCCATTATACTCCTGCTATGAGTGAAACCATCCGGTATTTTTCTTTCTCTTTCTGGCTTATCTCACTAAGCATGATCTTTTCCAGCTCCATCCAAGTTGCTGCAAAAGACATGTGTTTCTCTTTTTTGGTTGCTGAGTAATATTCCATTGTATATATGTACCACATCCTTTTTATCCAGTCATCTACTTTTGGGCATTTGGGCTGCTTCCTTGTTTTTCCAATTGTAAATAAAGCAGCATGCAGTGTTGCATTTTTATTGACACAGGTGAAGGCTGCCTCAAAAGCTGGAGGCAGCCTCTGCCTCCCGGAATGCTGCCAGCCCTCCACCCTTTATATTAAGGACAAAGTGTAGAAGCTGTGCTTGTTCTGGGGCATCGGCATTAGGACTGTTGACTGACTAGTACATATTACCTCCTATGTGCAAGGAGCAGTCAGGTGGGAATGGAAGGTGGGAAGCTTGGTTTCAGATGTGCAAATCAATCTCTTTTCCCTGGTTTTTAGAGCAGGTTCTGACCGAAGAAAAGAGACCTCTTTTCCACTGCCTGATACCAAGTCCAGAGCCTTCCCTTCTCAGTCATAATATTCCCTTCCAGAGATTTGGTCAGGACGTCTAAGTACTCTTATGTCTTGGCAAAAAGAACAGAAAGGCCATACTGTATCCAACAGTGAGGCACTTTTATGTGGGTCTTTTAAGCATTAAAATCAGACATGGCATTTAAATATTTACAGCTACTTGTGCACAAGTAATGATGTTAATAGTGAGCCTACTTAAAAGCTGCCACTTCAGATTTTTTACAAAACCCACATCATATTCTTAGTAGCAGAGAGATTAAGAGCAGAATTAAGACAGAAGAAAGGAAGCAAGAGTTTTGAAAATTCAAAACAAGGGGATGCTATATAGTTGGGAGTGGATTGGATTCTAGGTTGTAACACGTGAGTTGTCCTTTTTGTTTTGTTCGGAAGCTGCTGTAAACTAACAAGCTGACTTTCTGTGTTTGTAGGAGCCCTCTGATGTTGTCAACTCCTTAGAGCTATGTGTGAACACCAGTCTGGAAAACCCCGGCACTAGCCCTGCCCTTGAAGCCTACTCTGAAATGGTCAAAGTCTTCCGTGTAAGTGTGGCCTGCCTCTCCTGGCGTTCAGTCTGGTTAACAAAGTTTCACAGGTCTGCAGTAGATTAAAACATACCTGCACATTCTTTACAAATATAGCCTTTACAGTTTTCATTTTCTTAAAGAAATATAATCACTTATGTGTAAAGTTAATCACCATGTAAGTCCATAAAGGTAGGAACCTTTCTCTTCCCTTTCATCACTGTTTCCAGCTATTTGCACAGTTCCTGGCACATGTAGGTATTCAATAAATATTTGTTGAAGAAATAAATTACAGTAGCGCTCACACTTTGTGCTTCCCCAGCCACTCAATACCTGTGATTGCCAATCCCTGTGAAGCTCTCTGAATCATGGAACACTACCTCTGTACCACTACCCACCTAGATGTTCTGCTGGGAAAATTATCATCTTGAATCTTGCATTTATCCTTTTTTTTTGGTCATGATGTTGCTAAGCATGTAAACATTGTTTAGTTTTGTATGTCTTGAACTTTGTGTAAATGTAATAATACTATATGTAGTCTTTTACAATTTGCTTTTTTTTTTTAACTGAAGACACATTTCTAGAATTATTTTTCCTTTTCTGTAGATCCCTTTCTATAAAGAATGTGGTGAAGATGGGGTTTGCATCTCTGATCTAGTTCTGGATGTCCAGCAACAGAATGCTACTCAGTAAGTTTTCTTTAATTAAAGTTCAATGGAAAATGCAGAAATTAAGAGAGGCTAAATAGACTATTTTATTCAAGTGAATATGTATGGACACTTTCCCCACAGAAGAAGCCCTCAGATCCAGTGAACATTCAGATCCAGAGCACTTGTATCTAAATTTCAGTTACTACAATCCATACCTGAGTAGAACAATGAGAAATATAAAGCCATCTGTAAATATAAAACTATTGTTCCTTCCCTATAATCTAATAATTAAAAGTAACAGAGAAAAATCCAGCAGCATCTACTTATTTTTTGTTGATATCTTTTTAACATGAAGATTTTATTAAACATTTTTCTCAGTATTATAAGTAAATCTAAAGAGCTTATTTTCAAATGGTAAAGTATTTGACTATTGACCCCCCTACTTCTTTTTTTTTTAAGATTTATTTATTTATTTGTGCATACAGAACTGGGGTACAGGCCAGAGGCTCAGGGGCGGTGAGAGGCTTCACCAGAGAGAGTGGGGAACAGAACAGGCAGGTCGACGAAGTACACTGCTGAGGGGAGCAGCGGGCGGGTCAGGAGAGGTCTGCCACGCCATGTGGTCAGCACCGGGGCTGGCAGGAATCGAACTCATGAGGAAGTGGCTTTAGATCCTCAGTGCTGTGCTTTAACCCGCTGCGCCACCAGGGAGGACCGCCCCTACTTTTTTTTTAACCTTACCGAACTTTTAAAATTTTTCTCCTTTTTCACTTTTAACAGAGACCATCCCTTTATTGTCAGCAACAAAAATAAAAGGATAACATTTTCAGTAAAGCTGAAAAACAAAAAGGAGATTGCATACAACACTGGAATTGTTGTTGATTTTTCGGAAAACTTGTTTTTTGCTTCCTGGTCCATGCCGGTAGGTGACAGCACCTTGCTTACTGCTGTTGTTTCCTGCTCTTGTCAATCACCTGCCTCCTCAGCTCAGCTCCCCACCTCCTCTGTGTTGTCTGAAGAAGTACCTCAGCCCCCAGCCCGACCCTCCTACTGTGTGGCGCCCCATCAGTTAAGCTGCATGAGAGCACAGCCTGGCTCTGTACCTAGGGCGTCTGCGTCTCAGCGTGGGTCAGTTTTTCCTTTACCCAAGACTTGGCAGCCGCCACTGCCTTCGCTTCTCCAGCCCTCTGTGTGATGAGGCTGCCTGGGGCCGCACAGATGCTGTGCGCTGCACTTGCTCAGAGACATCAGGTCCTGCAGCGCAGCCTGAGATTTGAAGCCTGACGCCAAGATGGTACATTCCAGCGAGGTCAGTTTCTCGTGGGCCCTGATCACTGTACCAGGAGCAAAATTGACCGCAAATGCCCCCACCTCATGTCACCGAGTAGGGAAACGCTGAGCATTTCCAACTTTGTCGTTTGATAAAAGAATTCAAAATAGTTACAAAATCCAGTTTAAACACAATATGAACTTAATTTCGGATCTTAAACCTACTCTCACTTCAGTGTTTAAATTTCCTCTGCCAAAGAGCAACATCTTTTAAAGAGAAAAAACATCTGAAAAACTACGTTATTTAACACCAACCTATGTTATTTTCTCTTGAAAATAAAATTTCAAAGACATTGAGATATATTTTAAAGACAGCATGTCTAAAAATCAGATTGAAGTTATTTTGTACTTCTGAAATATAGCAACTATGATTTACTTCTGGTGGAAAATTCCAGCACTTGACTTCATCTTTGGCTGATTAGGTGTCCTGCTTAATAATAAAAAATAATATATTAGCTACCGGGACAACACAAGATGTTCAAGTCTTAGGAGAAAGTAAGTCACTTCCAAGCAACCATATCCTAACTATATCCTTCAGTATATAGATCATTGTTTTCTTGGTGTTCTTCAGGTTGATGGGACTGAAGTAGCATGCCAGGTGGCTTCCTCTCAGAAGTCTGTTACATGTGATGTCGGCTACCCTGCTGTAAAGAAAGAACAACAGGTACAGCTAAAATCCACACTAGCCTCTCCTTGGTACTAGTTTAATTCACCAGCGTACCATCTTCTTTATGAGGTGTCATTTCATAGGTAACACAAAATAACTGACTTCCTTTGAGGATCTGAATATTTTCTTTAACTTATTAATAAGAGTGAGCTTTTCCCGCATGTAGTTTTCTCTAAAAAGTACACACAATATGGAAAGTTCTGTTTGTCTGAGTATGTTCATCATTACACAAATTCACAAATATCACTAATAAATCACAGGAAAGCAATTTTCCTTGGCTGCCTGGGCTTTCTATTTTTTTTTAAGATTATTTATTTTTGCATACAAGAACTGGGATACAGACCAGAGGTGCAGGGGTGAGAGGATTCACCAGAGACAGAATAGGTAGCAGAACAGGCAAATCTACTGAAATACACTGCTGAGGGGAGCAGCAGGCTGGTCAGGAGAGGTCTTCCATGCCATGTGAGTCAGCTCCCTGGCTGGGGATTGAACTCATGCTGCAGTGGCTATGGATAGCTTCATAGTGCTTTAACCCATTGCACTACCAGGGAGGAAACTGGCTAGAGCTTTCTAATTCAGAAAAGGTATGTGCCTGTGATATGATGACTTGTATATGTCAGTTGAAAGGCAAACACTTCTAGTCTTAAAGGGGAGGCCAACTCAATGGGACACATAATAGGTTGTCTACAAATTTGAAAGCTTTAAAGTGCAAAATACAGAACCCCATTGAAATGAGTTTACTTTCACAGAAAACAATTTTTCCTTTTGGCCTCTGAGGGTGAAGCACCATTGACTGATCAATTTTAATTTTGTGTATAGGTGAATTTCAATATTAGCTTTGACTTCAATCTTCAAAACCTTCTGAATCAAGCCTCCATCCGTTTCCGAGCCATAAGGTAAAACACTGAAGTCCTGGATTAATGATGGATGACTTTTTTTTTTAAATAATAGCTTATTTTTACATCACTTTGTGCCTTTTTCCACCTCAGTTGTAATCCACGTGGGCTTCCCATCACCAAATCACCCGTGTGCCATCACCATAGCCTAGTGCACTTCCCTCCTCCACCCCCGTAAAATGTCTCTGGTATATAGTTGCTCATTATTGTTATTATTATTATTATTATCATCTCCCCTGGTCCTTTATAGTCCTACTATGAGTAAAACCAGATGATGGATGACTTTTATAACTTGCTCTTTAAGTAATTTCTTGACATTAATGTCAACAGTGAAAGCCATGAAGAAAACGAGGCAGACAATATGGTTGACTTCAGAATTCCTCTCCTCTATGATGCTGAAATTCACATCACAAGGTAAGTGAAACAGTGGACAGCTGTGCCATGGATGTCCCCCAGTTTATAACATGTTTGTCTTAAGAAGCAAAGAAGCTTCTTTCTAGTCATTCTGAACTGGAAAATTTGAATTCAGATGTTTCTCTATTGTCAATTAAAACAGAAGTCCAGACACAAGTTGGTCCTTAGGGAAACCATGAGTGATTGTAGGTTTATTATTTTATAGGAAATACTTGAAAAAAAAATGAGACTTATCATTTATTGAGCACTTATAGTTACAAGCACTCCTCTAAGCACTTTATATGGATTAATTCGTGAATCCTCAAAAAGAAACCCACCACAGAGTTTCTGTTAGTGTTCTGATTTTGCAGGTGAGGAGACAAGTATCTTAAATAATTTGTCCAGCATCATACAGCTAATGTGTGTCTGAGCTGGGACAGCAACACACACAATTTCACACCAGGTAGTCAGAAGAAATAGAGCCCAACATAATCTATGGTAAAAGGAAACAAGCACTAAATTACTCTAGGAAGGAGGTTATTCACATAGACTCCATAGAGCTGGCAGGGCCAACACAGAGCTCAGTCTCACCCTCTCTCCTCTCTGTGACATCCATGAAAAGTTCATAGAGCAACTTGATCTCCTTTTGTAGTTGGTTTTTTTTTTTGTTTTTGTCATATTGGTTTATGACACTAAGATTTAGGGATCTCGGGTTTTACTTCTTCAGATGAATGTTACACACCATGGCCACCACCAAGGCACCTGCAATCCACCACCGCCCCCAGGGCCCCTCCCCCATTGCTTTTTACTCCCAGCCTCCCTCTCTAGTGGCCTCAGTGCTGCTGTCAGCTACCTAGGGATTCTTTTGGTTTTTTCTAGTATATTCCTTTGTTGACTTTCTTTGCTCCTTAGGTTTAATAACTGACAGCTAAGGTTTATCAACTCAAAGGCAGAAAAATAATCTTCTGTCACGTGCCCCAGGGAAGTTCCTCTGAAAGCCCTTTGACAATTGTCAAATCTTCCCATAATATCAAAGCAGAACATGTATGGCCCAGAGGAGTTGCACCATTTTCTTCTGCATGCCTACTTTCCACTGTTCCTATGAGATTTCAAGCCACAGTCCCATGTATGGACATTGAATCCCCAAATACAGTGTTTTCATAGATCCAGTACAAATGTTAAATAGTCATAGAAAGTGAGCTGCTGGGTAGAAAATTCCTAAAGAACACATCAGGGTTTTTTCTCTAGCCAAGAAGACATTAGAAATTTTTCCAAAAATGGTTTTTCCATTAAAAAACACTTATTTCTGTGCACTTCACAAAGCAAGTAAATCTGAGTGTGGTGTTGATACCAGCCACCTTGAATTATTCTCTGGGACAGTTATCTTGAGAAGTGGATCATGGTAGCCTTAAGAATAAAGTAAAGCAGGTTCATGGCCACAGACTTATGGAGCCGAAGCCCTCTTCATCGTGGGCACCAAGGCAAGTTCCCAGGGCCCCTGGAAAACACTGCAACACTGTACTCTCAAGAAGCCAGAAGGCCACTTATGTCCAGTGACAGCTGGACACATTTCTCTTCCTCCCACCACATCATTCCTGCCCCTACAGCATGGAATACATATATCTATCGTCCAATCTATCACTGAACAAAAACACAAAGGAAAATATGTCATTATGTCTAGAGCTTCAGATACATGAGCAAGGACAAAAAGAATGCTTCAGTTTGAATGAACTGAAACAGCAAAAGCAGAGGCAAAATACAAGTCGTCTATCCCTGAAAAATTAATCAGTAGCTGCAGGTTTCAGAGAACCCCAAGTTGCTGAAGTGTGTCATTGAAGACAAAATCAACCAGAGATTGATATACCATATTACATGAATTTTTTCTTCCTACTTATATTGATTATCATTCTAAGTGCTTTTTCTTTCTACAGTCTTTCTATGATTTTACTCTTACACATTTTTTCAGATATTCTAATGTGAAATATACAAGATTCAATGGGACTTCATTTTTATTAACTAATATTTTAGCTATTTATTTTTGTAATGGTAACTTGGATTCTAAGACATCCTTATATTTTTTAACATGTTTCATGCAGTGAAAATTTTACTCTTTTACAAAGAATAAAAGTTAAAGTGGTTCCCAATTACCACCCTGCTAGTTCAGCTTGAAGCTTTTTTAAAAAAGACATTAAATGCAAATAGGTAGAAAATCTGTATATTGTGTAATAGAAAACTACACAGTGAAAAGTGAGTCCATCCCTGTCTCCTCTTCTGGTCCCATTGATGACAAACTCAATTGCTTTTAGTATACCTTCCATATACAAGGATTGTTTATCCAACAGGATATAGGAATGTTAACTCTAACACACGTGTTATTTACCCAAAGAGAACAGTAAATCTCTTTTGAACATTGATTTTTATGTAATTTTAGAGAACTTTCTATATCAGGACATACAGATCTAATTTGTCCTGTTTCTGGCTGAATCATAATTTATGTAACCAATTCAATATGGTAATATTTGGTTCATTTAAATTTTACTTTTGTTTTATCACCACAGGCACTGCTATAACAAACATTTTTAAACAAATATCTTTGCAAAGTTTTTGGAAAAAGAAGTCCTACCTAATTATTGAGTGTGTCTCTTAGCAGCCACTTTGACATTATATAAATTTTCAATCATATTTTGTAAATATAATGGGTAAAAATAGACAATAGTGGCATTCTCTCTGAAACAAAATGTATGTCCCTGCATATAGCAAAATATATCAATTAACATTTAAGTAACTTAACACTGAAGTAGCAAGTGGAAGAATGTCGGATCTTTTGGGAATTAAAAAGTATACCATATTAATCAGTGCAGAAACTGACTACTTAGAGGTTCACAAATGAGCTTATGGAAAGTAAAAGAAATAAGTCATTCACATACAGTCAGGCTTTCTGTTTCAAATCCTAGTCAGTTTTCCCATTTTCCACATACAGCTGACAAATCATTGTTTCCTCTCAAATACATAGCCGTAATAAATACCACATCTACTGAAGTTCCCATGACATATTTTCCTTCTGAGGAACTGGAAAAGTTTTTAAGGCATGAAAAGGGGAAAGACAAGATTTTCAGTAAAAAACAAAACAAAGCAAAACTGTTGCTCAGCAAATATCCATTCCATTTTTTTTTTAGAAAATAGAATTAATATCTTAAATTTATAATAAATTGTCTGCTGGGAATAAATATTGCTATTTAAACTTCTGCCCTATTTTTATTCGACTCCCCCAACCAGTGAAACTACCTTGGCTGAAATCCAGCGTTAGGCTTCCAGAAGTAAGTGAGGAGAGGGGAGAGTGTCCAGTTACATTCCAGAGTCCAAGTGGCCCCATGGGGTGCCTCTGACCTGGTCATTACATTACATGCAGGCTCTAGTTGGCAATCACACAGACAGGGAAAGTCAGCCCTATGTCTCTGGATCTAGCTAACAAAATCTCTAGTTCAGTCATCTTGAAAGTGATCTCAGCACTAGTGGTGGAAATGAACTGGCCAGCCCCAACTTGGATCAAAGGCACTGAGTTGGCCTGGAATTAGACAAAAAGAAGTAGAGGAAGTAAAGAAAATATATGCCCTGTGTTGTGGGTATCCAGTAAGAAATACACAGGAGACAATGCCCATTATAGTCTCACTGCTTCTCAGCCATACCAAGCAAAAAATCCTTCGAATTATAACTGATTCATCCAATTAACAAGGACTGTATCCACTATTATAGCACACAGGCAGTGCAACAGTTATCTTGAGAAGAGTTCCACTATCAGCTCTAGAGTCATACATTTGTACTTTTTGAAAGTTTACAACTGACAGCATAGAACGCACCGACTCATCAGAGATTACTTTTCTCTATATGTATTGAATGGAATTTGTCTGAGGCTTAGAAACATATACTGGGCCACAGGTGTTTTTATTTAGTGTTTTGTACCTAAGTAGGAACAGTTCTACTTATAATCTAAACTAGAGAATATTTAAATAAAATATTTAGATTCAATAATAACAACAAAACTAAAATATTTGGCTTTGCAAACATCCAACAGATCTACCAACATAAATTTCTATGAAGTCTCTTCGAACGGCAGTGTTCCTTCTCTCGTGCACAATTTTGAAGATATTGGTCCAAAATTCATCTTCTCTATTAAGGTTGGTAAGCCTCAGATGGGAAATCAAGAGGCAAGGTAAAGGAAAAAATGAGGCAGGAAGAAAAAAGAAAGTAAAAAGAAGTTGAAATATATCCGTGGTTCTCAAAGTTGTCTGTGCCTTAGAAGCACCTAAGGGAATTGTTAAAACACACATCATTGGACGCCACACCCAAGGTTTCTGATTCATCAAGTCCAGAGAGAATGTAAACATGTGCATTTCCAACAATGAGATGATGATGCTAGTGGTCCAGATGTCAGACTTTGAAAACCACCAAGATAGAGCATCACTAAGGAAACATCTGGGCTTTGTGCATAGCTTTCTGTCCTGGATAAAGGATAAATGATATATTTGAAAACAAATGTTCAATATTAATATACAGCATTAATATAATAGTATAACTATGATCAAAAGCCCCTGAAATAGAATTAGTATGACAGTATATCCTTGGCTACCACTTCTATTTGAGAAGTGGTATCAATTATATACATTTATTATCATTTATATACAAATACAAACTTTGTACATAGTAATATCTAGAATTATCTTTAAATCAGTGTCTTTTGGCTATTAGTAGTCAATAATTAATCAGTTACTTAAAGAGAAATTAATCTGCTAAAAAATGACGTTTATAATATAACACTATAAAAACTTTGGAAAGTGAAAGATTCACCCATCACCCTAAGTCAATACAACTCAGGGAGGGATATTTTCTATTAGTCTGTCATATAGTTGCAAGCCTGCAATTGGTGATTTAAAAAAAAATCTTTGTAAGAACGTTGGTATGTGATGCAGATTCCAGAATCTCATCCAAAATGAATAAAGTGTGTATGGGATTTGGCAGCTACTTTAATGAAACATTTTGTAGATTCGTAGTAAAAAAAATTACATGTATAGAGAATGTAGTATCAGTCTTTGTATCAAGTGCTTATATATGCCGGCCCATTTAATTCTCAGGGCGGTTATGAGATTGGTGGGTTATTATTCCACTGGGTGTTATTTAATGTTTCACAATTGCTAGGATTTGAGCACAGGGCAATCAGAACAGACTCCACCAATGAGAGCAGAGGCTATATCTGTTATCTACTTGCTGAGCTGCTGATTGTCTTTATTTTACAAGTATGAAAATGTAAGTACATAGAGCTCAAGTCCTTTGCCCAACCCACTCTGCTAGTCAGGGGCAAAGTGCGACTTCATGCTGCAGATGGTGGATGTTCTTAACTATCTTTTATGTCACAAATTCTCACCAGTTACAGTTGTAGATGACGAGAAAGACAAATACCCCAAGTAGTAACATAAAATAAGTTACACTTTCATATCAACTCATTCTTACCACTTAATAGTTGCCTTCATCAACAAAGTTTGTTGATCACTTTTTTGCAGTATGCTGATGTAGCAATAACCAGAATGTTTTATACTTTATGTAGGTATCAACAGGAAATGTTCCAGTAAGCATGGCATTTGTGAACATCCACATCCCTCAATACACCAAAGAAAAGAATCCTCTCATGTACCTGACAGAAGTGCACACAGATCAGGTATGGGCAGCCAAATTGCCTACAAATGAGTGTTTCAATATGGAAAAAACCCGTGAGTGGTCATGTTGGGCTTCTTACTGACAGGAATTGGGAAGCTAATCCCTGTGTGCCCTGGGTGCCAGTTAACTCACAGTTAATATTATATTCGAGTGGGGTGTTGTTACAATAAAACAAATATTTAAGTCTAGAGATTTACAGCTGGCCAGAGTTATTCCTAAAGCTCCATTGGGCCAGATGAAGATCTGACTTTATCAGAGCTCTGTTCTGAGAGAAGCTTATTAAGAAGTGAGACACTGACCCCACAATTGAAAAGTTGCAATAAGTAACCTGTCTTCAAGATGCCAGTCTGGACTTTAACTGATAGTACTCAACCCTGGCAGCCTGGTAGCACCAGCCTGGTAGCACCTAATAAAGACCTAGGTTTTAATCATCTGAATCACCTTTTAAATAAGAGTGATACCAGCTTCTCCCCACCGTGGAACCCAATTAAATCAGCATCTTTAGGACTAAGACTCTAGCATTGGTGTTTGTCATTAAAAAGCCCCATCGATTTTTCTAACATGAAGCCTGGACTGAGAAGCAGTGTTCTTGCCAAACCTGGACATTGGCACAGCCATAGTCTCACACTTATTGTTCCTGTAGTCTGTATAGGTGGCTACAGGGAGTGGAAATCCTAAGATGTTCCACAAAAGTCCCTGAATTGAATCACGCACAGTCTGTTATTACAGCAGACTCACATACGGACTGTGACAGCCAGTGCCACACATCTGAATACTTCTAAGTTTCAATGAGTGAGTACAGATCACAGGACATGTGGCCAGGTCAGCACGAAAGGAAGTCTGACAGCACATCCCCCCATTTTGGCTGTGACAATGGGACTTCCTAATGCGTTAAAAGGAACTGCATAAAAGCCATTCACTGATTTGATGTCCTTCTTTATTATAGGCAGGTGACATCAGTTGTGATGCCACAGAAAATCCACTGAAGATAGGACAAACACCTGCTTCTGTATCTTTCAAGAGTGAAAATTTTCGGCCCATAAATGAATTGGTGAGGACAATTTCTCTGGGTGATTGTTTTCCCTGGAAATCAAGGTGTGAAAAAAAAAAACCCTTTGTGCTTCATTTCATCATCCCTATTTTCCTTTGCCTCTAGATACCACTGTTTGTTTTTATTCTTACTGTTTAGTTAATCTAAGGAATGAATATTAAGTTTAATGAATACATTGTACTGTATTTTTGTGTATATTTTTGTGTATATATTCAATAATTTACCTAACTTGTACATTATTGATAGCTCAAATTATTTAGCTTTTTGTTAACGCTCAGAAATAGTGTAATAAACAGGCATGGTGTGTTTTCCATACATTTATGATCCTGAGGCCACCCCTACAGATGTAAGTGGCAGACCCAAGGGTGTGCATGGCAAGTCTTTCAGAGAGGGGGTCATACTGACTAGGAGCTATGACGTTGCCTGTTTGCCTACATCCTTTCCAGCACTGGGTTTACCTACTGCTTTGCAACCATCCACATCCCAGGCCCTGCAGATTCCCCTTTGGTTCAGGCAACTTAAGAGAGAACCTTGGAGCTCTAGGCAGGTTGTTTTGATAGGACGCAGGGGAAGCAAGCCAGCAAGGAGACAGGAACTTGGGCTCCTGGGAATCTTTACTCACTGTTTGCTCTGTAAAGCTGCCCTTATAGCCACCTGCCTCAAGGCTCATACCAGCCACGTCAGGCACCATCCCCAGCGCCCAGGCTCCCAAGTGCCTTCTGCATTGAAGGCCCAGGTGATAGCCTGAGGCTAGCGGCAGAAAAGGCTGAACAATTCACTAACCCCAGTCTACCTTTTGTAAGACTTCAGCTTGTAATTTTAAAGCTCCATATTAATCCCCTCTCTTTTTTTACCCTTTGAATCTACCCTGAAAGAACTGCAGAACGGCTTCTTGTACTAATCTTACTTGCTGGCTGAAAGACCTTCAAGTGAAGAAAGAATACTTCCTTAACGTGTCTACTCGAATTTGGAATGGGACCTTTGCAGCAGTAAGTATCAGCTATATTTATTAGGCTTATTTATAGCAAGGAAACGTCCTTGTTGTCACAAAGGTCATGCCCCTTGATAAAATTACTAATCTGTTGAATATCACCAGGACTCTGATAACCCAGAGCAGTTTTACTATGGAAGGCAATAAAGTTCTGTGTCCCTTGCCAAAACTTGCCCAATCTGGCTGTGCTTCAGAATTACCTGGGGTGAATTTTGTGGTGTGCACTTCCTGGACTCCACCTTAGAGTCTCTGGGAATGGTGTCAGGATCCTCCCTGCTGCCCTTTGTTAAAGGAGTCACCTGCTTTGTCTCCCTCCATTCTCTTGGTGCGCTCTCATCCTAGTCTCCAATGCCCAACTGAAATGTTTGCCTCTTTCCTTGAACCCTCAGCTAATTGTTTGATTGATGAGAAATCACCCAGCAGATGAATCTGACACAAGGATCACCTTCCTAGGTCAGAACCAGGCAACTACTCTGCTCTCCTGTATACACTTTCTCTGACGAAAACCCAGAATGCATACTTTTTTTTTTAAAGAACTGGGGTTCAACCTCAGGTGCAGGGGGGTAAGAGGATTCACCAGAGACAGAGTGAGGAGCAGAACCGGTAGATTGACTGCTGAGGGGAGCAGTGGGTGAGATAGGAGAGGTCTGCTGTGCCATGTGGGTCACCTCCGGGGCTGGGGATAAAAGTGGCACTGAAGTGGCTGTGACTTGCTTGCAGTGCTGCGTCCTAACCCATTGCACCACCAGGGAGGGCCCCGCATACAACTTTTTAAGTCATTTCAAGCTCTATGAAAACTTTGAAAAAAGTGCTAAGACAATGTCAGAATGATTTTCCATATGGCAAGTTTGACTCTGCAATAGATAAACCTGCTTTCAACAGAGATTTTCATTGCTGAAATTTCCATCCAGCATTAAAAAAAGAGAAAAATATTAAGGTAGCCTTTTTATAAGGCTTATCTAATTGTAAAAGTATAAGGAAAAATGTAATGTTCCTTAAATCTTACTGCATATGGGTTAGCTGGTCTTTTTTTTTTTTTTAACCAATGCTGGCTCTGATGGAGACAGCAAAACAGAAATTAATCAGAAACCTCCCAGAGACAGCTTGCAGCTGTCAGTAGATTTTTTGTGTGTGTGTGATTAAATCAGTCCTCAAGAAATTTACCGCCACACACTCAGTGCCATGGACATACTCTGGTTCTCTGCTCTCTAACCATTTCATGGTCTTTCCAACCACTGGTATAAAAACAAGAGCTAAGCCACCTCTGAATTTGTCTGGGAACCAAAAATAGAAGCCATATTCTTGGATAAAAACATAATGGAAAGAAAAAAAGTAAAAGGGCAGAAAAAAAAAATAGAGGAATCCAGCCAAGGAGTTGGGTTTTCTTTTCTCTTTTTAAATTTGTTTCCTTATTGGTTGCATTTGCCTTCAAGCCTCCAGGACTCCTTTAACTTTTCTAAGAAGCAATGCGTAGCTGTAGCTGTGCCCTGTCCCCAGCTGTAGCCGTTTGATGCTCAGACTCAACAATTGGTTCTTGGCTCTCTGGATTTGAAGACCAAATGTTTTCATGATAACCTTTGCCAGCTGGGAAGAAAACTGCCGCAAATCACAATGCAATCACTCTGGCGCTGTAAAAGGCATTTAGTTTGTTTGTTTAAAACTACCTCATTTTAACTAAGAACTTTTAAAGTATTCCCCCAGCAGCAACAGTTTCATTTCTGAGAGCAAAATTCTAAGGAAGTGTAGTATTTTTGCCTTTTTCATTGTGGTCACAGTGGTTAAATTGAGAAAACACCCGTAAGTTAATGACTATCAAATGCAACAACACATCTTCTTCCTACATGAAAGTCCAAATGTTGATGCCTACTTTGTTCTCAGCTATTTCAAAAGCAAAGTGGATGTTCTGAGACAACCTAGGAGATCCTGTCTGAAATAAGGATCTCATTTCATCTGTTAGAGCCTATTAATGGACCACCTCTCATCCTTTTAATGCAAGACAACTTATGTCAAGTAATTTCATCACAAAGTGGTCATTCAGGTCTCCAAGTTGGCACTGTCAGCTGCCATTTGCAAGGTAAAGGCTTGTCAGAATGCTGGCTGGTGTGGTACTTCCTGCCCCGAGCATGCAGGTATACCTGCCACTGCTTGTTAGCCCTGCAGGGTGTTTTTTTGTTTGTTTTTTAATTTTGTTTAAAGATTTATGTACTTATGTATACAGAACTGGGGTTCAGGCCAGAGGTGCTGGGTTGTGAGAAGATTCGCCAGAGACAGAGTGGGGAGCAGAACAGGCAGATCAAGGAAGTACCCTGCTGAGGGGAGAGTCAGGAGAGGTCTGCTGTGCCTTGTGCGTCACACACTGGGTGGGATTGAACTCGTGCAGCTGTGGCTAGCTTCATAGAGCTGTGCTTTAAACACACCACCTGTGCTGCACCACCAGGGAAGGCCATCGGCAGGGTGTTCTGAGCATGTGTGAACTCCTGACTCTGGGAGGGTTTGTAAGGAAATCCTTTCATCCTCAATCGATAGGGACAGTGGAATCAACATTCACTTCTACTCTGAAAAAAAAGAAAAAACAAAAACTGAAACCATTGTCACTGCTTAGTGTTCCCCTGGTAATACATATTTAAGAGACCAGTGGTCAAGAATAACTGCAGGTGCAATCTTCCATCATGAGAAAATAAGATAACAAAGTCTGAGCCTATGGAAAGGGAATAAACCACTCATTTTGAGTATCTGTTCTGAATCCAGATACAGTTTAGCTAATTACCTCATGTTATCCATTGTGCCCTGGTTACCAAAAAAAGTTGAATTTTAGCAGTCAGGCGCTTTCAAATATGGCCTTTGTATTCTGCTTCAAAATATGTACTTGGCCCAATTATTTACATTATAAAGAAAATACCATAACCATCAATAATGTGTCCATTGAAAAGTACATTAAGGAATGCATGGTAAGTCATTCACATCAAGTTACCAGTAACATCAGCCCTAAATACATGTGTGTCCTATATGCTGCCCAAATCCAGTCGTTGATAGCAACAAATTGGAGATCTGCAGTAATACCGCATATAGCATGGAAACAGGCTCAGGAGTGGCTACTACTAACATGCACGGTCAAGTTCAAGTGTACTATTATACAAGTGTATTCCCAAAAGAAAAATCGCCTTCCCTTTTTAGTCTGATATCCCATTTCATTTACATGATTTACTCAGTTAAGTATATAAAAATACTGAGTTTGTGATTTTTCGATGTCAAGAATTTCCTTGTGGTTTTAAAAATCTGAACTATGAGCTCTCCCAATTAAAAGCTTCATTTTGAAATCCTGGCTCTTTAGCCCTGTTTTTAAGTTAGACATCCAGGAGATTCTAGCTGATATCTGGGCACCCTCCCAACTCACCCCTCCCTGGATTTTGTTTATTCAGCTACAGCAGCACCCAGCCATCCCAGGTTGTAAAAGCACCTCCAGGTACTTCTTTTGTGAGGTTCTGTCACTGGCTTTATTAAATTTCAGCCCACAAAGATTCGTGAGTCTTCAGAGTTGGTATTTGCCCTTGCCACTTTCCACAAGGAAATAAGTAACAAGCCTGTGGAGTTTCATGTGTTTACTTCTACTAAGATAACATGTGTTCTTTATTCTTATGTTCCAGTCCACTTTCCAAACAGTACAGTTGACAGCAGCTGCGGAAATTGACACCTACAACCCTCAGATATACGTGATCAAAGAAAATGCTGTCACGGTGAGTACCACTGACTCCTCTCTGGGCGTGAGAGTCTATGATTAAATCGCCATGTCTGAAAATTCAGAAGAGTCGTGCTTCTCACCCACATGCTCGTAGAAGCACTTTACTGAAACTCTAAAAATCTGATGCTTATTATCCTGAGCATTTGTTTGCTACTCAGAAAAGGTCCTTGATATTCCTGCCCTCATCCACACTCCCCATGTTGACAAAGCTGGGCCAGAAGTGATGATCCACCACAAAACACAGCAAATCTTGTGGAGGTCCCTTCTTCATGCCTTAAAGCAGCGCACCTAGTCTGTCGTAGGCACACACCCACCAGCCTCAACCTTACAGGGCAGGATCTGAGCCATGCTTAGTTGAATCATATATTGTATTTTAGAGCATATTAATGGGAAGTGCTAAAGAATGCCTAATAACTAAGGCATTGAGTAGAGCTTCTCTTCCTTTCTTTACCCGTTACAACTAGACATTGATGTGGTGTGGAGTGTCCATTCATAGTATCTTACAGTCTAGAAAACTATAAATGCTCCCCTTTAAAAAAAAAAAAAAGTTGTGTGAAGAAATGAACTTTCACAGAAAACAAAGGCTCACTGTTTTGGAATTGGCACAGGATGATTTTACTTTGCACTGAAGCTCTGGTTTGGAATATGCCATATTTAGATACAGCGGGATTTCCAAGCTTCACTAATCTTCTGGCAGAAGCCTGGTGTGTTTCCCTCCTGCTACTTTTGTTAGGAACTAAAAAGCCAGTTCAAAATTATACCCCCGTGGTCAACTTAGCAGTTGGCCTTGGTCCACTGCTGCTATCCAGGCACTTGATGCAAATGCCAAGGGCCCTGTGAACTCTGGACCTCAGTGCCTCCCAGTGGTGCTCACTCTGCCCCTGCTTTGCTCTGGGGTAAAGGATCCCATATAATGGAGAATCCTTTTCAGTCTCCAGGTCAGGTCACCACCCTGTCTTCAGAAGCTGGGATATGGAAAATCAGAACCGGAGTCAAAGGGAATGGGAGCCTCAAATTCAGAGTGCTATGAATTTGGGCAGGGAAAAAGTACTATAGATCTATTGACAGTTTACTGTAGAAAAATGAATCCATGAACCTCTGAAGTCTTTGTTAGCTTTGTTAAATGTATTAACTAAAATTTCAATTAACTGAGCAATATTGATAACAAAGATCAAATGTTACTTTTTGCATCAACAAAAATATTTCTAACCCAAATAATTTGGATAATTTTTGGAATCTAAACAATACATTGACATATCCCTTAGATTGATAAGTGATTCTTAAATATACTGGAATTGCAAGCCCATTTAAAAATCTGATACAAAAGTTTTATGCTCATATTTATGGAACCCATATAAGGGAGTTCTGAAGAGAATTAAGGTTATGACTTTCATTAAGCATTAACTATGTGAATTTATCATTACTTAGTCTTATTTTTACATTGATTAAAATCTTTAAGAATTAAAGATACAAGTGAGAATACAGTCACTATTAAGGCCAAATTCAAATTTAGTCCAACTTGTCAATTCTGTGATAAAAAGCAATTCAGCTGCTACTGCAACTCAGTGTTAATTATTAAGTAAATAAATGAGGGTTATCTGTTTTAGCTCTTTAAAAAATGTACTCTGTGGAAGAAAAAAGATTGAGTCTCTCTGCAATTCCAAATATATGTGTAAAAAAAAAAAAGTTTTACTGTTAGTTGATACCCTTCCCATTGCAAAGTCACAAAGATCACCAGAAAGCAGAACATAGAGGATCATAAATAGCCCAAGGACAGTTTTGTTAGGATAAAGGTCAACTTGCATCCTGAGATAACACTTTTGCTCTTTAAAAATTCATATCAAGTACTTGGGTGATCATTGCATGAAATCAGTATTTTAGGAGACTAATGCAATATTGTTGTTTAATTGTAAGTGGTTGGTTTGTTAATTCGTTTGGTCTCTTTTCCCCCCCCAACACTGGGTTCCAAATGCTTTTCTTGATGATGAGACTATGTCAGAAATTGAAGTTCCTATTGCCTAAGAAATTAAAGCACCTGAAAGTCGGAGAAGGCTTATATACTAAATACAGATGCAGATACTGGGAAGACATCAGACCACTTGTATTGCTTGCCTGTGCTTTGCAGGATATTTTTCTCTAGAAATCGTCCTATACAATGTTTAATTGAGAAATGCAGTCATGAGCAAGTCATATCCCCTTTTCAGACTCATTTGTGAAAACTTTTTTGGTAACTCAAATTGTTTATATACATTTACAGATTCCTATTACCATCATGAAGCCCCATGAGAAAGCTGAAGTACCAACTGGAGTCATCGTAGGAAGTATACTTGCAGGACTCCTTTTGCTATTAGCTCTGGTTGCAATTTTATGGAAGGTAAGAAAAGTTTCCTATTTTAAAATACATCAAATGGAAATCTTAAATTTTATATGCTACCTCCTCTATCACAAGAGAAAGGCAAAATGCATATTCTCATTCGTGTTCTTCAAACAGTCGATTAGGATTTTATCTCCATGATCTGGGTCACTATATACTTTTTAAAAATCTTCCTTTCACCCAGACACTGGAGTGTTTTATTCAGCTGCAAATGAGTAGACCCTGAAAAAATAAATCTCATGCAACTCAGTTCAACTCATGGGGAGTTTCACTACAGAAGTGACCCCAGGTTAGTCAGCTCACTGCCCTCTCCAGAGCTCCATGATCAAGTAAGTGATAGGTGGTAACATGCTTGCCTTATCTTCACAGCTCGGCTTCTTCAAAAGAAAATACGAAAAAATGGCCAAAAACCCAGATGAGATTGACGAGACCACAGAGCTCAATAGCTAGACACCAGCAGCTGTCACTGCGGTAGGAACTGACAGTGTCACCGCTAGGGTTTATTATTTACGTCAATGGATTTCTTTTTAATCCCAGTGTTTCATAATGTAATAGGTAAACTAGCCTGGTATTTTAAGAAAACTGCAGGTCAGTTTGGAAAGAAGCAAACTGAGAAGGGGGGTGGAGGTGGACAGGCATCTAAATGGTATAAGACTTACTTTATATGGGGGGAAAGTGATCTTTATGCTGGCTGGCCCAGCCCAGGGTTTACATTAAATGTTGGAAACATGAAATGTTTCCAAACACGACAATTACAATTAGTTTTTTTTTTTTTTTTTTGCTATTAAAAAGTAAGTACTCAGTATAGACTGCTAATTTAGATCTTGATAACAAGATGGAAAACCCCAACAGGTTTTCAACTTAGTGTTGCTGAGTCAGGTGCCACAGGTATTTAAGTCATAATTCTGTTTCAGGCAAAAGCTGCCTCCTCAGAGTCCTTTCTTGCTCTGAAGTACTATTCATACCATACAGGAATAACTGGTAGAAGCCTAGAGTTTGCCCTCTGCAGAAGAAATCTCCATGTAAGGGGGGGGGGGGTGAGAGGGTGGGGAGTCAGGGAGGGAGTAGTTTAGAGAGCAGAACCCAAAATTCCCTTAAAATGTGTTATATTTATGACAAAATCCTGTCACCTGTACAGAAGTAGGAGGAAGCTTCCTTTCTCTTTTAGGATGTACTGTCTGGCTGGCAGGGACCTAGTGAATTTTTGGAAACTACGTCTTCTTTGTCATCCTTGAGGCTTCTATGCCAAACCACTCTCCTACCTCCTGGAGCCTCCATCTTTTAGAAGTCCTCTGCTCTCTGGCAGTCCACACCTATCCACTTCCCTTCCCTCCCACTGCCTGTCCCATCTCCACTCAGGCCAGCTGCTCCCTAGAGTTAGGGAGGGAATAGGCACAATTGCATGAGTTTCTGTGCAATCTGCTTACCTTCAGGGAACTAGTTTCATGTATTGCTAAACAAGTAAGAAAAATAAGCTCAAGTTTCTAATTGTTGGGATTTCAGGTGGCGATAAGGTAAAAAAAAAAAAGCATCTCAGGATTGGCTTTGAAGGAGACAGTGGAAATCACTAAATTATGGGTTGCACCTGTGTCTGCTTTCAGCGTACCTAAACAGCGAGGATGCATTTCACCTGAACCAAGTTCACCAGGTAGCTTCTTAGAACCCCAACTCCTGAGAAATTTGATGGGGCTGGAAGCCCAGTGACACTATTTTAACAAACATCTGGGTGACTAGGATGTAAATGGGCAACACCTTTCCCCTTCTGTATCTTATCTGAGCTTTTATGTTCTCTATAGGAGGGACTAGGAGAAAAAGGGAACAGGCAAAGTTCATAAAAATGGACACCTAAAGATTTGGGCAAGCCATTTGGCTTCTGTAAACTTCAAAGTCCTTTTTATGAAAAAGGATGAGTGGGCTGGAGCTCAACAATGGCTTTTAGCTGCATACTCCAAGAATGACTTTGCAATCAGGATAAACGGGCGTCTGCCCATATGCCTCTGACCGCTCTGCTGGACTCCTCCTTATGATGGCAGCCCAGAGCTATCTGCTCTGTTTAAAGATTTAGTTTCTATTTGACAAACCAAAAGAAATGTCAGTTTTATAGCAAAATACCCTGTTAATTCTCTAGTGAGAATTCCCAAGAATCCAATTCTTAGTAACAGGGGTGTGGATTCAAAGACTATAAAAGTGGAAAAACTGGTTATTCATTGACGCAAAATATTGAATAAACCACATGACTGCTGTAGATATACACATACTAATTCTTTAGTGACTAAACAGATATAGAGCATGTCATGCCTTTTTAGTTTACCTAAGGAGGGGAGGCAGAGTAAACACTAAACTGAGCTCATACACACAGAACAAGTTGGGGCGTTTTAACAAGGATTGGCATGGCAATCTGCCTGGATGCATTTTTGCAAAGTACTTAAATTACTATAAACTAAAAAATTAGCCCCTTGTCTTGATTCATTTATTCTCCAGGGCGAGCTTTCTCAAGCTTGGCATCAGTGACACTGGGTTACAATCAGAAAATGTCTACAGACATTGAAAAATGCTTCCTGGGTAGCAAAATCATCCATTGAACCACTGAAATCAGAGCAAGTGACCTGAACAAGCAACTTGTTACCAGATCACAGGTTAGAGGCTGGGCACTGAGAAGCACTTCACAAGCATTTTTAATTAATCAAGTTGAGTACATGGAGAATGTGGTTAACTTCAAGTCTTTTCATTATCATGCTGATGAGAATTTTAAAAATCTCAGCTTACTTTTAACAAACCCAAGTCACTTGAAGACATGGTTTTGTTAAAGGTCGTTTTTCGTAATTATACTGTCTTAAACAAGGGAAAACTTACTATATCCACCTAAGAAATTAAAGGACAAAAATATTGTTTGGAAAAAAGGTATTCTATTCAGCCATACTTTTGTTTTAAAAGTGAGTTTAGGGCTTAAAAAATGCCCTTTTAAGGTTCCATTTCATAAATGGTTTATAGACAAGATCTAAAGAATGATTAAAAAACTAAGGTGCTTCATGCCAGGCTGCCACACCCCATGAACCAGTAGCATAGTAAGAATTTGTGAAGAAGCCATGTTGAGATTTGAAACTGCATTATTCATTTTAGGGAAAAAAACCTAGTTAGAATTTTTTCTAGCTGGCAGGGTTAACTTTTATAATGAGTTATTAACTGAAGAATAAAAAAGCTAAAACCAAATTATAACACAAGTGGTTACACTAGAAGTTATAGAAGGTATGATTTACAATGTATTTATTCTGATGTACAATCAAAACCTAATATATGAAAAAGCTCATAAATTGACATTATTAAACAAAGCAGGATTTCTCAAGCTGAATTTCCTGGTTCACCAATAATCATATTCAAAACTTTAGGGTCATGCTCAATTTTACCAAGAGGTAAAAGGTAAACGTGAGGATTTAGTTGAAATAAGTAAAAATGTTAACTACTTCCTTGAATTTAAAGGTGAAGATGTAGCAATTATGTAAATATAAAAAGATGGATAAAATCAATATAAATGTATATATTGCACAACTGTTAGAAATGTATATTTTAAAGAAAAATTGCTTGATTTTTTTTCCTTCATACCTAATGTATACATTTCTATTAAGATGTTTATTTGCTTTTTTGTTGAACTGGTTTTGCTTTTTTCTCTCCAACAAAAATATAAATGAATGTATGTGTAATGTACAAATGTACAATTCCTTTGATTTCTGAGATAAAAATCAAACTGTGGCCCTCCCTGCTGGCGCAGCGGGTTAAAGCACAGCACTGAGAATCTAAAGCCGCTTCCGCATGAGTTCGATTCCCGCCTGCCCCGGAGGTGACCACATGGCGTGGCAGACCTCTCCTGACCCGCCCGCTGCTCCCCTCAGCAGTGTACTTCGTCGATCTGCCTGTTCTGCTCCCCACTCTGTCTCTGGTGAAGCCTCTCACCGCCCCTGAGCCTCTGGCCTGTACCCCAGTTCTCTATGCACAAATAAATAAATCTTTTAAAAAAAAAAATCAAACTGTACTAGCAAAATAAATTAGTTAAGAGCTTTTCTTGTATAAAGTATGAAAGTCAAAACACTTCATACTATGTTAGTGAATATCACAAAAATCGTTCTGAAAATAAAGTTACTTACTTTGGGTCTTTATGGCTAAGAATGTTACTATTTTTGTCTCATGTGTTCTCTGCTTCAGATCACATTCAATCAACATAGAAATAAGGAAGTAGCTAACCTCTTACATTAACAGCAGTGCAAAAATGCTTTGTAGAAACCTAAATTGCCTTTGTGGTTCAGCACTGGCGTTGGGTGCCAGCCTTGCTCCTCACAATGGGGTCCACACACAAGGGGTGACACCACCCCCTGAACTACTGAACTGCAACAGAAAGTTGATGATCCCCACCCAGTTGATTCAAATTACAGTCAAGTCTGAAAAACACTGCTCTAAAGCACAACTTACCTGTTGAAGTAACACCTGTGCTTGGAGCGGAGTGGAAAGCCGGTAACCTGCTGCAACTTGCAAAAGCAGTCACCTGCATTTTTTATAAGACAAGATACACACTGGCCCACAGGCTGATCACCGTGATACACATGACACCTGAGTGCAAAGGTTCAACAGCACATCTGTGTGGTGGGACACTCCAGCACTGGGCAGGGAATTGGCGGGGTTGGGCAGGGGGAAGACAAAGTGACCAAGCTCCCAGCCCCAGCAAGTCTTCTCTCTCTTTGGAATCTCGGCATCGCAAGTGCTCCTGCCTCTCGTAGCTGTTTTCTGCTGCTGCCGTTTTCCTGTAGCGGTTTTCTCTGAGCAATGAGGCCCTTACAGACTCAGCCATGCCCACTTACACATGCCCACCCATACACCAGGTGTCCACCACCAGGCATGCGTGCCTCCTGCATTCCAGGAAGGCCAGTCACAGGTGATAACCACAGAGGCCAGCAGTGTGGGCCTGAACAATTCACTTACCCTACAGTCTGTATCACACTTCCCCTTCCACATCAGCTGTGTCAGAGGGCTAGGAAACGCGGCTAACGGCCCGTTGTTAAGCTACCATTTTATCCTAAGTTAAAAAATAATTTCACATTACTCATTTTCAAAAATAACTCCTTTGCTCTACATCACCTTTTAAAAACTACAAACAGCATTTTCAAAAACTCCCTTAATCATAATCCTTTAGTATTGTAAACTCGAATACCAATTAAAGACTAGAAATCATCTTATTCAAGTCCTGATCTTATACAAAATCAGGACTATCAGCTGAGGATCACCCCAACCTAGTGTGCTGTACCGGGAATGGTTACTGACTAAAAGGACCTTGAGGCTGTGAAAAGTAACAGACTAAAAACCCAAATCCAGCAGTTTTTACTAGAGGGCTGGCTCTACTGCCCTCTGCTGGGCGAGCTGCCTCATCTCTCCCGCCTGGTGAAGAAATTAGCACCAAGTAATCAGGTTGCTAAGGTCCAAGATGTCCTGCAGGTTTCAGGCTGCAGAATCTCCTCTGAGTGCTCAGGGCTGGTGGGCAAGGCGGGCTCAGCACACACAAGGTGTTTGTCAAATACATGACTTGCTTAAGTAAAAAAGGTTTCACTAGAGTTAATGTTATTGCTAACAAGTGAGGTGTCTGAACATATGCAAATTTTACAGCGTCTGTTGTCTACCTCAAATTTTATTACTCTAAGAATTATACACCAGGAATTTGGTGGAGAGAGAATGGAACAGCAAAAATATAGCCCTGAAATTAAAATAAAAATTAAAGCATTCTCTATGGAACTTGTATTTCAGCTGTATGAAGACAGTGTACTGGTGACCAAATATTGGACCGCTGTATCATATAGTGCTTACAGAAAACTTAATTATTAATGACGTCAGTAATGATGTTGCATACACAATTAAAGAGGAAACTACCTGAAAATGCTCTGATGATCATTCTTTTTAATTGGTTTAAGTTCAAATATTAAGCATCAACACAATACAAATACCCTTATTACTAGTTTGCCAGATTTTATATAAATTTATGCTAATCTGTATATTTATATAATGCTAAAAACTAATAAAATATAATACATATTAAGGTAATAGATTCTAAAATACAATATCATGAAATATTTTAGGTATTACACTCAATTTTTTAAAATAGGAAAACACTGATTTTAAACTTGTGTATTCAATTTCTTAAATATATAAATTCTAAAAATATATCAAGACTATCTGATAATGACTTTGTACCTTCCAATTTTGCCAACATACCCATAATGTGTCCTTGATAGCAATCACATCGCTGGATCACGAGGAAGGGGAAGGGGCTGCAGGCTCCCTTTGAGACAAAGTTGATGAGGAGCAAGCTTCACTTCACTGTGAGTCAAATTGCAATCAGAACTTAATCATGGAATAGTAAGTCTATCACAGGCTTCCTTCCTTATATTTAAATTATTCTTCATGTCCTTCCCTCAGGCCTTTCCTCCAACTCTGGTTCCTGTGTGAGCCTTTTGGCTAAACACCCACTTACTTTGCTTTCTTTTCTATTTATACTATGAGTACAACATAAGAGATTGTGCTTCATTAAACCATCTTAAATAGGGAGGGGGAGAAAAATCAAAATAAGATCAAAAATAAAAGTTTATGAGATTAAAATGTCAGGATTAGAAAATGTGAGTGATTCAATCATTGGTTGCCCAAAAGCATTCTTTGTTTCTTTTCCAAGATGATGATGATTCTTCATACATTTCCTAAAAAAAAAAATAAATAAATAAAACCATAATGGCTATTCAAAACAGAGCATTTTAATAAACGTAAGTACATATGAATAAATCAAATTAACTATTTTAACTATTTAAATCTGCTCCACTTGTAACAACACAATAAACTTGTGGATAAAGTACTGAGGGCAGAAAAGTGAGAAAACACATTCCCTATACTTAAGGGCTGCTGATACAAAAGGAAAGAAGATAAACAAGAAGCTTTAACAGGGTACGGCCATGAAATACAGGATAGCCAGCCCTCATGTTCCACACAGGCTCATCCTAGGTGGTGGGGCCCCTGGTGGCCACATACAGAGTGAACACGCAGAAGATTTTCTTGTGACTATTCCCTAAGCAAGGATGGGCAGCGCTTACATTGTAGTTGGCATTATAAATAATCTAGAGATGATTTAGTGTTCAGGCAGATGTGCACAGGCTACAGGCAAATCCTAGCAACTTTCTGTGCGTGATTTGAGCATTCCCAGCTTGTGGGATCTATGGGGATGTACTCTGGATGCCAAGGAATCATTAAAAATTCATTCCATCTGGGACCATGACTGAGACTAGGGAAAATGGAAGGACATTCGTTTTCAACTTTAGTGCCAAACACACCACCTACTTCAAAATATCTAAAATATGCTTCACCAAAGTCTTTCCACTTCTTGTTAGACACAGATGGTGCAGAACAACCCCATTGCTGATATACTACATAGGGGAGGAATGGGTGTGCAGGGTCTTCTCACCTCTTCAGAATACGCTCTTTCACCAGAGACTAACTGGCTCATTTTGATTGGTTTGATGTGCTGACAGAAAACAAGCTAGAATTTCCTACTGAAATTCTGAATATACATTTTTTGGGAGGCAATACAGCACCCCACTATTTTCCTAAAATGGAATCCCAGGAGAACATTCTTCTGCCTTGTGGAATCTGTGATACCCAATGCTTAAGTTCCTATGAACTATTCCCACTCACCAAAGGAAGGATACTTTATTTTCCAGAGAATTCTAACCCAAAGTAAATGACTATAAATGAAGTACTGGACCGATCCAGACTAGGAATTCTAATAGCTGGCACTTAATGAAACATACTCCAGGCCCTGCATTCTTTGTGGCACACAATTCTCATGTTCAACAAACCTTGGAAAGGAGATACTATGTAAATATTCTATTTCATGGGTTCTATAAAGATTCTCTAAAGTCAGAGGAAGTCCATGATCACAAATTCTGTAGGAACCCTTGGTATCTATCTTACAAAAATTCCTGAGAAAAATCACATCCAAATAGCAAAATTAGATACTCTCTTAACTCACCTTTTTCCATATGGGCACCTTGGCCTTTAAAGTATCTATGGCATAGCTCACAGCTTCGAGGGAGGCAGCTCTATGTGCAGAGGACACAGCAATGATTATACTTGCTTCTGACACTGGAACTAAACTTTAACAAGATGAAGGAAAAAGTTACCATCTCCTCGAATTTACCTGTTAAGTAATCTAATAGACACATGAACATTTCAATGAAGCCCAGTTTAGTTAGAAAACAATAATCCATCCCATCTGCATTCAGCAGGATTCCGAAGTTGGGGCTGATTTACCAGTGTCCATCCAATGAACCTGTTTGATGGGCACCAAGAAGAATGGTCAATTTCCATGACTTAAACCTGTGACTCAAATAGGGCACTGTGCCAAGTCACACCTAGAGAGCTAGTACTAAACAATAAATGTTAACAAAATTGCTAACAGTAATTATTAAAACAGCACTGGTTTTTAATGAAATTACTTATTAAAAATAGAATAATAGTGGAATATGATCAATGATGTAGTCTCAATTCCTGGGTTATTTTTAAGCTCTAGAACTCTGCTCTTAACGGAACAAAAAGGCTAACTTACTGAATGACTCTAGGTATTTGCATAGAAGGGCAATCACTTGTAAGGTTACCACACAGAGTTCAGATTATAAATCAATTCTATAAAAGGCCTGAGGAACTGTAGCAGAGGAGGCGCCTGCTGGTGCAGGGCCTGAGAGGAGGGGGCAGGTTTGGGCTCCGTAGTACCTCAAGCAGGCACTCTCCCTACCACAGGACAAGTACTCAGGCAGTGCCGTGTTCCCCCAGAACGATACACAACCCTCCTTCTCATCATAATATAGGATGTCTATGAGAAATTTCCGGAATCAGAGTATGTACAGAGGCAATAAATTTTCAACTTAACAATGGACACCATACCCCAGTCTGTGGAACACTGCTATGTGTTTGATCGGCCATTTCTGCCTCATGTCACTACAAATTTTTCTGACTTCATTTTCAGCCATCGGTAGATATGCTTCATATTCGAGGCTAAGGACTTTTTTCCCTTCAAAGTTATTTCTTGTCGTCCCTGAGGGGAGAAAAATGCATTCAAAATAGGTTTCTCCTTATAGTAGAAACATCGTATTACTAGAAGAAGATTATATTTGAACATGCCAAATTATTCACAAATTACTGAATTTTTTTTATTAAGGTAATATTGGTTTATAATACTGTATGATTCAGGGGTAACAGATCCACCTACTCAGAGGTACATAACCACACCACACCCACCATCAAGGCAACCACAGTCCATTAGACCCCATCCACATCCTACTCTCCAGCCTCTGTCCCCCTCGGGTAGCTGCAATTCTACAGTCAAATTTCTAGGGTTTATCACTGGTTTAGTTTTGTCTGACTGTTGATCTATATTGGACATATAAGTGATACCATCTAGTATTTGTCTTTCCCCTTTAGACTTAGCTGGGCATTACCCAATCTTGATAAGAAAAAACAAAAGATAATTATTACAAAGATAAGGAAATAAGATAACACCAATTAGGCAAATTTACTGAAAACACAGACAGCAAACCAGGATATATTCCTTTTCTCACAGTTACCATTTGCAAACTGAAAGGAAACATTATGTTGCCAGGATTCACATTGAATCATTACCATTACTACTCCGTCCCCACCTATGAAAAACACAAAATTCCCTCTGATGATGACTTGATCCAACTTTTGTTTTTTTCTTTGCTTCAACAAAGGCTAACTTGCAGGTTATTGAGACAAAACAAGAGCTAAAAAAAATCTCTCACCACTGATAATCTTAAGGTTACTGCTCTATCATAAAATCTTCTGACTATTAACATTAGTCATGGAAATCACTTGTTAACTTCGAATGTCTGGTGTCGTCAATAGAAGCTGTGAAAATTACAACTCACCTACAAACAGGGATATGGCACCACAGAGTGGAGAAATCACCAGCTGTGAGACTTCGTCTACTGAAAGTTTCTCAGCAGTGAATTTTATTATATCTTTAGATTTCTCTTCAACTTCATTTGTAATTTTGCTAGAAATAAGATATTCATAAGATTTAACATTGGCATGAAAGGAAATACATCCAACGTACAGGCTGCTTCATTTTATATTTTTCTCTATAGGTTAAGAGGCACAATTTGCATGATAAAAAAGCAGTGTAAAATGTCAGCAAAACCATATACTTATAAATATCCCAATTGAATCAAGCATGATATAAAAAGCAATTTATTTAAATGTAATGTCTATATGTAATTAATTCGGAATTCTGTAATTGCTATTAATCTCGCATTACAGCACAGTTCACCCATCACAACCCTCATCCACAGACACTCCTAACTACTAAATTATCCAGTGTCACAGCCAGAACTGCTGTTTTTCTTTATCCAAAACAAAGAGGGAAGCAGAACCTCCACAGGAACTGGGCTGTCCATAGGAACTTGTTCCCAGAGCAACTCCACAGTGTTCCCTCTACAACAGGGCACAAGCCCAGTTAAGCAGCTGAGGAAGTAAGAAAATGAAGTGCACTGCTATTCATCAGGTGCTGTGCAAAATCCTTTGCCACACATTTGTCATTTCGTTCATCAAACACTTATTACACACTCACTAAGGACCAGAGACTGTGCCATGCACTAGATACAGACCAGGGAACAAAAGATACTGGCTCCTGTCCTCAAGGCACTCATAGTGGATGGGAGGAACAGCAATAAAAGGCAACTAAAAATAGAGGTAACCCATGGAAATAAGCAGGGTTCAGAGACACAGTATGGAGGCAATATGAATTAAAGGGATCACAGAAGGCCTCTCTCAAGAAGTCATAGTTGAACACTGTAAAGAAAACAGGGGGACAGGACCCCAGAAGAGAAAAAGAATGCCAAATGCAAGGACTATGGCTCATGAAAGAGCAGAGTGTGCTCCAGAACCTACTAGGAGGCCCAGGACTAAAGCGGAGCAGGAATGCACTGAGGTTGAGCAGGAAGGTTAGACCATAGAGGCCATGAAGAGTCTGAACAGAATCACAGATCCTGTGGGGTTTCATCCAAACAGAAAGATGTCAGAAAGAGGACTCAAGAACTCACTCAAGGAATGTTACTAAATCTCATGTTCTTTTCCTAATCTCCTTCCAGCAGCAATAAAAAGCAACTAAAAGAAAAACAGTCATCCATATATCACTAAGTCCCAGATGTTTTAGCTCCTCTACATGCCATTTGAGCTTCTACCTCATTGTTTTTTTCTTTTGCAATACAGCTAATCCAAATAAGTCTATCAACTTCATATTTAATTCCTACAGCCTGATTCCAAAAGGACAGAGGTCTTTAAGTGACATCCTGCAAATACTGTTGAATGCCGCCAAATAATAAACAATGCTTGTGAGTCATCTTCCTAATAGGCCCAAAGCTAGCTCTCACCATCACATACACATACTCCTTTAATGTCAGCCCACTCTTTTCTGAAGAAACACCACATGCAAAAAATATTTTTCCAAAATGATAGTGCTGACCAATTTCCAAATAAAATTAAGGTACATATATAACAAGTAATTTTTATATAATTTTCAAATAGTAGTTTAAGAACGATTCAATCTGGCTTGCTGGGCAATATACTTTATATTTGTTATTATTTACTTCTGTGAAAATGGCTTCTAAGAACGTGGGGGGGGGTGGGAAAAAAATAAGTGGACATCCTTGGCTTGTTCCTTTCTTACAGGAAGCTAAGCTCATGGCTGAGTATGATATTTACCCTTGATTTTGGAGAAAAAAATTCTATCAATTAAGAAAGCTTGCTCTCATTCCTAACTTATCAAGATCTTTTAATTAGGGAGGACTTAATTTCTTCATTATTTTTCAGCGGATAATAAACCTCATTCTGGCCTTCTCTCCACATAATCCTGAGAAAAATACTAAGTACATTCTACTCAAATACTACTACTCAACTATGGACTATGCTATTTGGAAAGATGACATGGATCACAGAGTCACCTGCACACATCTAAAATAGTTTCTTCATAACTGGAAAACTTTTTTTTTTTTTAAAGGCACAGTGCCCTTTTTACTTGCAGGCTAGAAAATTTTTCTACATTCCCCTGAATCCAGGAGAGCTATCCAGAGTTACTAAGCCTAATGGTGAAAAATTGCACAGTACAATAACATGAATTTAAATGTTAAGTCTGCCATTATTAGCTACATGAACACAGATAAGTTTTTTAGCTCATTCCAAATAAGAGTATTAATTCTCCGAAGTCCAGCACTATGTCTGGACATCGTTAAAAAACAAAACAGGGGTCCTGTCTGGTGACAGCAGCACTGCAAGCTAGCCATAGCCACTTCAGTGTAAGTTAGATCTCAGCCCCAGAGATGACCACATGGTGTGGCAGACATGTCTCAGGGAGTCGCTACTCCCCTCAGCAGTGTCTTCGATGATCTAGCTGTCCTGCTCCCCACTGTCTCAGGTGACCTCTCACTGCCCCTTGCACCAGTTCTGTATACATAAATAAATCTTTAAAAAAAAAAAAAAGGTAGTAAAATCTCAATCAACCATGGTAAGTGAATAAATATGTTAATAGAACATATTGAACTAACATTAAACTGTCTGCAATAGAATCGATGTAGAGATAACAGGTAGTTCTTAGCACTAATAACGAGTTACTATTTTAATAAAGAGCTAGTATAGACTTATGAAGAGGATACAGCCACAGCCAATCATGTAACAAGTTATCAACTATATGATCCTTCCCCCAAGATTAGGTTTGAAAAACTTAATCTCACATACCCAAGTGGCTCAAAAGCACTACTATCCTCCACTAATTGGGGGGATAATGGCAATTTCGTCTCCTGATCGAAGCAAGAGGAGTTGATCTCCAAGTTCGACATATTCTTGACGAACAGCAAATATCACTTGATTTTTGACATCAGCCAATCTAAAGAGGAAAGAACATAATTAGAAGAATCACTGTTTGGTTTGTGATTCAAATCTATACAGCTGAAACTAAAAACACAGATTCCCTCAGAAGCATCACTTAGAAAGTGACTAATTGAAGCTAACAACTCTTCATTGCCTGCAACTGTAAGCCTGTAAGCCTTGGAGAATTAAAACAAGGGGTGGGGAGTGGTAAATAAAAGTATGGAGAAACATTCAGACTAAGTCATATAACAAATATACTTAGTACAGCTAGGACATTTCCCACAAGACCAGATGGCTCCTGGTAGGTAAAAATTTAAATTAAAGCAGCACAAAAAAACAATATATTGTATCAATATATCAGGCCACTTCAAATAAAATAAGATACAGAATCAAAGAATAGACTTCCTTTTGAACATACATTGCAAGTACCTTTTACACAACACTAGGAATTCCAAGTTAAGTATCAACACAGGTTTAAATGATACTTTTATATTTCTGGAAAGCCTTCAAATAAGCTACTTTTCTACACTGTTTCAAAAAGGACTCCAGATATGAAGAACAGCAGAAAATCATTAACTATCAAGAGCAGAAAAGAATCAAATATTGCAAAAACTAAAATACAACAAAAACCAGGGTTTAGTTTTCATTTTCCTTTTAATGTTAGAAATGTCTATTTTGATTTCTCTAAAGAATTATTTTGTAAATTATAAAAAGAAATATAATCATATCCATATCTCACTTTTTTTTTAGTAAAAATTTAACTGTCCTTAAGGAAGTGTGCATTTTTAAACACTACAAGCGTTCAGGGATTGTTTAAAATACACACACACACACACACACACACACAATTAATGACCCTTTTGACATTGAGCATGGAAATCAAACAAGTTTTCCTCTTTTTACTTTTATTATTTCTTTATTCACACATTTTAAAAATACTAAAATGTTAGTCACAGGCATTTTAATTACCCAGGATGTCTTGATTCTATCTCATTCCACAGTTGCAATGCTTTTATTTCTTGTGGCACAGATATGGTCTCCGAGCGAATTCCAGCTATTTCAGCACTCTTTGCAAAATACAACACTTCAACCTGAAAGTGGAGCAAAAAGGGCTTTTAACAATAGTAACTCATTGTTCTTTCCTGGCTATTCACATTGAGTTTTGTTTTCCAAATGTATTACTTTAATAAAGACAAAGTTTAAAAGTTAGGGAAAAAAATCAACTCTTCCATAAAAATTTCAGGACTTAAGTAGCTACAAGTTCTGATACTGAATTTTTTTTTTAATTTTGAAAAACTTGTTTTAAATATAATTCAAACTAATTTCTGGAAGCTTTTTAAGTTTCACAAATGTGAATGTGCTACACCTAAAATCCTAATAATTTTAGAGACCATAGCATAAAATCGGCTTTATTGGCATAAAATTACAGCACTTTTTATAAACAACATAAGCAATAAACGAATGTCAGTTGAGATGAAACACGCAAATAAAATTAATGACCAAAATAAGTGAAAGACACATGTTCCACGGTTGTCACATGACCTGATTACAGTGAACCCTGCCGCCCAAGGTTTAGGTTATGCAACATACAAAAATTCTGACTTGTATTAACTGCAGGTGGATTTGAAATACTGGATCAACTGGTATATCCTAGACAAACCAGTGCAGTCACTCTGGTACCTAAAGGTACCTTGATCGGAATCAAGCTATATAACCACCTGTCACTAGGCTCAAATTCTCCACAAGCAATTAGGGGTTTGCAAATAAGCAGTGGTTTGCAAATACTCAAATGAAATACACATTCACAAGAATTCTTACATGAATTTCTTTATAAACTGAAAGCATGCCTTTGTCCAATAGAAAAATCTGAGAAGCAGGGGCAAAGGTGAAGGGCATTAGGAACCAACGGGTGAGTCACTGTCCCCGGACGCCTAGAGTTGGCGAAACCTCCAAAAGCCGGAACGGTGCACCTCGGGGATGGCTGCCGCGGCCCTGGAACTGTATGGATGCAGGGGATCCGATGGAACTAGCCTGGGACTGTGGAAGGGAAGAGGCGGACACGTAGTGGAGTCTCTCAGCCTTACCTGGCACAGCGGTACCATCCCGCCCGGATCCCTGGCGGAGAACCCCGACCTCGGGGGCGGAGGCGCAGGGAGCACCGAGGGCGCAGGCGCAACGCGGTGGCCGCTTCCGCCTGCAGAGGTCATGCGCAGGACTAGCTCCGCCCCGCCATTTTCTCCGTGGGTTTTTTCTCTAGGGTCGTTCGGCTTAAGTTTAGGTTTTGCTCCAAGGTGGGTCGCATTGGTAATCAGAACTAAAGGTGTCACTGATTGAGAAAGGAACTGCCAATATACGCCCATCTCCTCAAATGAGAGAATGAGGCGCTAAAGAAACTGAACTCACCTGTGCCCTTTACACCTGCTTTGTGAATGTCTCCTTTCCTTCTTGCTCATCTGTGGGCTTATATTTCTTTTTACCGCACTGCCTACTCCTCCATTGGGTATAGAATTATTTTTCGCTAAAGACTTAGAACATTTAAATTACAGATCATAAGACTGAGACGTCCAGTTTGTATCCACCAACATCCATCTTACTGGATGGGTAACTCAGTGTACCAAATATAATAGGATTACGTTATTATTTCATGAGGGTGAGAGAGGGACCGTGGCTGGTCAACTGAGGATTATGCTCTGGAAGCCTTTACTGAGGCTTGGGCTATATCTACAAGAAAGAGCAACAGCAAGGCAGAAAAGGAGTAGGGATTTCACTAGCCTGTGCCAAGCCAGAAGAATGGAAAGAAGCATAATGAGGTCACAGAAGGGCAGGCTGGTGTGCCACCAGCTACAAAGTAATAGGAAATGAGGTTGGAAATATCAGGTAGCAGTCTGGCAAGAAAAATTGACAAGGACTAACGCCAGCATATTTTGTTAAAAGTTGCTACATATAAAGGTAAGATTGATAGTCACATGCTTGCAGAGAAATGGCAGTAACAATGGCTTTGATTTGTCTCTAACACCCAGTGCAAAAGATGGTGATGTGCATTATCTAAAATATGCTGATAACAAAAGCATGGCTCCAAAAGTTATATTTGTACACTGTGAAATTTTATTAATCATGCAACAAATAAGCAAGTTTATCTCTTGAAATTATAGTCATACTGTAATATGTGGGTATGCAATAAAAACTGATACCAGAAAATTCACAGCTTATACCAAAGACCTCTACTTTATATTAAATTCACTTAAGTCAGTCATAATCTGATAGACAATCTGATCATTAATAATTATAATGGCATATATCGAAATAATAATTGCATTTCACTTTGGCTACAATTTATGATACAAGGTCTGGATGGATTCAACCTTTACTCAGTTTTCATATTGAATAAAAGACTCTGAGACCAAAAACATTTGAACGTTTCAGATTTCACAAGTTTCCATTAAAATAACATACAGATAATTTTGCTTATAGCAAGTTTTAGCAAAAATGTTCCCTTTTCTGAAATTTTCCTACAAGTGCCTGACAAAATCAGAGCTCACATTTATATTTTTTGTCAGTTGTTTCAGAAGTTTTTTTTGAACTTTCTTTTATGATCTCATTCCTAAAATCCAAGCTGTCCAATTATTTACAAAATTTTAAAATCCGAATGTCTTACCTCTTATAAAACTTAAGTTTAATTTATATCTTTTTGACATTTCTGTTCAAATTGTTCCTACTATCATTTTAGTTAGTAAATAATGCCTCATGCTAAGTATTTGGCTAAGTGTCAAGAGCTCTTCAGGAAATGCTTGAGCTTCAGTGACTTTATTTAAGCATCTTAAAACAGAGAAAATAGATGTTCAAATCTCAGCCCACAGGAACCCCCTTGAAATAACAAGTATGGCACACTTTGTTCAAAGTGCAAATATCTATAAGGATATCTGAGCCATGTAGTTTGAAATCTATAGATATTTGACTAATATCTTTATAGATATTTTTCATAGCATTTGAATTTCTGATTAAAAAATAGATAAGGCAGTATTATTTTTGGAATATTAGTTCAATATTAAATCCATCAGGAAATACTCATTTCAAGTACTATCAGTACAAGTGGTTTGTAAATACATACAGTAACATATTAATTAACAACTTTGTGTAGTGCCTTTCACCCTTATAATTGTATAAAGTGATGTTGATTCAGTTTGTGATTGAATGGAATTTTTTATAAAATCCCACATTCTTCTTGTGTTAATTTCATTGGTCATTTTGAGTAAAAACAAATAATACTGCCCAAATTACATATGCTAATTAGTTTATTCAGGGAAACGAAAGTCATAAGGAACATCCTCTTGTGTGGTTATTCTAGTTGCAAACCTTGTAAGCGGAAAGTAAATACAGAACTTTCGTAAATGCTGTATGTTCTTTACTAACCATGTTTTCAAACCAGTATATAAGCTTCCCTTTTCAGATAGCAGAAGAAAGGCAGATCTTAAAATTTCCATTTCTTCAAAATCTAAAATCAAGAGGTCAAAAGCAGACAAATATGCCACATAGGAGATGCTAGCCAATGAAAAGTAAAACTATTATAAGAAACATGGTGTGAATTCTAGAAAGCTCTTAGTATTCACTTCCCAGAGGATGAAGAGACATAACTAAGGAAAACCAGTTCCTGAATAACTTACAAAGGTGAGCTGGTGAAGCAGAAACCTTTATGAACTGGAAGACCTACCTCTTCAGAAATTAAAAAAAAAGAAAGAAAAAAAGTTACCCAGAGACAGTAGCAGGTGCAGGATGAGGATGACTAGAGAGTCATGACTAGAGCTCCTCTTTATCTTAAAGATGCTCAAGGGGGGGGGGGGAGTTTAAGAGGGGATCCACACCATCATTGTCACACCTGTCAGCAATTTTGGAGTAGCAATAACTGACCATGTGAACAGGGCAAGACCAAAGTGGGGTGCTCACCTTAGAAGCGGCTGAAGTCCAGAGGTCCAAATCCAGCCAGAGGGTAAGGATAATCCAAAATTCAAGCTTCCCCCTGATCTGAAAGCAGTCAACCCTGACCTTATAAAGCAAACCTTTGGTAAAATCACCAGAGAAAACAGCACCTGGTTTAACTAATGAAAGACATATAGGACCCAGCTGAGAAAAATCTCTTTCAACCCTAGTCTCACCCTTTCCCGTGCACTCAGGCTACAGTTAGTTTTTCCTTCAGCTTAGGAGTCAGCAGACATTTCTGGTAATGGCCCACAAAGTAAACATCTCAACATCCCAAATCATGTGAGCTCTGTGACAGCTACTCAACTCTGCTATTGCAATATGCAAATGGCCACTGACAATCTGAAACAATAAAATTATTTACAAAAATAGGAAATGGGCTCATTTGTCCCATAGGCCACATATGCTGACTCTTGAATATAGTTTATAAAGTAAAACAAGATGGGAATGGAATGAAGGAGAATTCAGACACACTGTAAGCAGCATAAATAAGCCTGGACAAATCTTTCTCTTCAGTAAAAAGAGAAAAATAAAGGGAGGGGGGGGGGAAACAAAGTTAAATGGAAAATATATCTCAGCAAAAATTTAATACAGAAAATTTCTATAAAAACATGCAAGTAATAGATAAAAACATCTTATAGCAGAAAGCAAAGATCCTTCAAAAGGAAACATGCAGCAAGCAATTATTGGTAGAGAGCAGTAGTGTTCAGTAGAACTTTCTGCAAAGAATGGAAAGTCCTGTAATTGTGCTGTCCAGTAGAGAAGCCACAGTGCCTACTGAACACTTAAAATGTGGTAAGTGCAATCAAAAACCTGGATTTTACATTGAAAATACTTTAATTAAATATAAATAGCCACATGTGGTGAGTAGCTATTTATTGAACTGTTGATCTAGCGGAAACTCTGGAGACAATTATCATTAATTGTCTCCAGAAAAAAAGAAGCCAAAGAATTATAGAGACCATAATAAATATATGGTAGATATAAAGGCCACAGAATATGTGGGCAATGGAACCCCTGATTAAGAAATCTAAACAAATGGAACATAATGACTTTAAAGTCATAATGAATTTAAAGTCATA